ATGGTACTCAGGGAGAAAAAAGGTCGTCAAACCTTAGTTTTCTTTTCAGCACCACCATTTATCTCCTACCTTCCCCTACCTGCCACTTCCCCAAAATAATTCCAACCAAAGAAAAGATGCTTTTATCCTACCATCAGTAGACTGAATTCCCATTGACTGATAATCCTAAATTATTCTTAGCTGATGTTTAAATAATTAGATTTTAATGAGTAGGGTTTTCAACCTAGAAACTGGATTAGGAAAGCACACTTCTTACAGGGGCCATAAATTCAACATTTGTGAAGTTTGGGATTAGGAAAGTCTGTACTAATTTGCTACTTCGGGGGGTTATTTGTATCACGTTTCTAAGCATTACCCTGCCATAGAAATCGTCTTTCTTTGCACTCTACACAAGGTGGGTATTGGCAGTAGGTATGATGGGGATGCTGATTCATGGAAATGTTGATTCTACCTCAAAGAAGGAACTGGCCGAGAGAATCAATATCATCCAAAGCAAATATATATTTTTGTGCTTTATAAATTTGAATTCCAAGAAATACATCTAGACCATGCATAATTAGCTAGGGCTACAGAGTTACCTTTTCAGAAGGCATATTTACCTAGACAAGTTATGCATATTTCATAAAAACAAACAGACGGTGTAAAAACATCATCTACCCTTGGTTTGATATCCAGTGTGGTTTTCTCATGAAAAGCACGCATTTCTTAAATGATCATTTTGTTTTAAAACATGTTGGATTAAGAAGCATGTGCTACTTATTGTGATTTTAGTAATATATTACACAGAGTTCCAAGAAAACATTGATGTCCTTGGTTAACTTCCAGAAAAAATTTAATAAATCTAAACCTGGTTGAACTTTAAGTCATCACAATCTGTTTAAAAAGAAATTGCGTAGGAAGAGAGTGTGATTCTATGGCATACTGTGTATAAGTAAATTCAATAAATAAAATAAGAGTGTGGGAAGGAGGAGGGGGGAGAAAAGGTGAGGAGAGCGATCACTGGATAGTTTATGACAACAGTTTTCTTACCCTTATAATTTAGAGCTAGAACAGAGTGTAAGGGACATACATTCACTCATTTGAAAGAACCAAAGCTCAGAGAAGTGATAAGTTGTATAACCGGATAGCATTCCAAACCAGGGTTCAGACTTCTGTTCAATAACCCTTTAAAGAGAGTCCATAAATTCTGAGACAGTCTAATAATTGATGAAACAGTGATAATGGCAGTAATATTTATTGAGTACCTACTATAAACCAAGCATTTGCTTAGCCTTTTATATATATTATCTCCTTTAATTTCTGCATCCAGCCAATGACATAGGTGATGGCAACCTCATTTTAAAGCTGTGGAAACTAAGACTCAGGGTTTGTCCCCTTATTGATGGTGACGATTCCCTGGTAGAGCCCTTCAACAACAAACTTTTGTTTCAAGTTTATCGTGTGTAAGTATGTTACTAGAAACCAAGGGATCAAATAAAAGGCAGACATGGTTTTCCCCTTTCAGAGATTTATAGGTTAGATTCTTAGAACCTAATGTGTAAGATGTACGTGTTAGAAGAGCAGCAGAGCAGCTTTCGGACGTTTTTGACCACAGAGCCCTGTAAGAAACATCTTCAGACTGAAACAAAGATGCACGTATGTAAATATGTGCAAGTTCATAGCTAAAACAAAGGCTTTAAGTAACACTATGTGCTGTTCATGCTACTTTCTATCCTAGTCCGCTCTACTCTATTCTGTTTTAAATTTTTTTTTTTGAGACAGAGTCTCATTATGTCGCTCTCGTTAGAGTGGTGTGACATCGGTGACATCACAGCTCACAGCAGCCTCAAACTCTTGGGCTTAAGCTATTCTCTTGCCTCAGCCTCCCAAGCAACTGGGACTACAGGCGCCCACCACAACGCCTGGCTATTTTTTTGTTGCGGTCATCTTTGTTGTTTAGCAGGCTCAGGCTGGGTTTGAACCTGCCAGCCTTGGTATGTGGCCAGCGCCCTACCCACTGAGCTATGGGCGCCACCGATTCTTACAAAAATTTTCAAGTATTACTTTTTATACTTGGAACTTTACCTAGAATTTATTCTTAGGTGTGAAGTAAGGATGCCATTTTCTTTTTTCTATGTGAGTATTGGTCTGCTAAGTAGGGGTTGTACAACTTTTTAAATAAAAAGCTCGGTAATAAGTATTTTAGGTATGTTCTTCATGACAACTACATAGCCACTTAACTTCTCTGATTTGATTTCTTCAAATGGACAATAGCAATAATAATGCTAATTCTCTTACTTCATGAGAATGTTGTAAGGATTAACTAATTGACTAAATAGGCAATAAGTAAATAAATGGGTAGAGTTGTGTTCCAATAAAACTTTATTTACAAAAACAAGAGGCAAGGTTGAATTTGGCCCATGGGCTGCAAATTGCTAACTCCTGCTTTAGACAAATCTCTCATTTAGTGTAGACATTATACAAAGAATTAATTAATGAAGTATACAGATATTATATTAATAAATATATATCATTGCAATATATAAATTTATTCTTTTATATTTCTTGCTAATCCCAGAGAAATTAGCTACTTGCATCCCCTTTAAAACTTATTGCCTCCTGTATCCCTTACTCATTCAGTCAGCAAATTTCTTTATTGACCCTCTATATGCTTTAGTAACACAGAGTCTACAACATAACTTGTTATATTTATAGACAGCTCAAATTATTGTGTTTTTTCTTTTTTAAGTTCTGTCTAGTTCTGTCTTGTGGTCTTTTATTCTTTAACCTAACCTACCTGTGCAGCAATGTGCTGTAAATCTACCGCCTTCTGACATGATACCCTTTAAGTCTGTGTTTCCTACCCACCCAGCTCAGGACAAACGGAGCTTGTTCTCACAGGTGTCTCTTAGAGGACATTGTCTCCAGCTGATTTCTCCAGCTGTCTATTTATTGATCAGATAATGAGCACCTACTTTTTAAGGTGATCATTTTTATAGGCACTGAAGACACAGAAGTGAACCAGTTCCCTGAAAATAGGGCGTCCATAACAAACAAACTACATCCACGTGGTCTGACCCAGTTAGGGTCCAGTGGGCCCACTCACTCCTGTCTGCATTGTATGCTTCTGGTGATGGAACCTGACCTCGTGCTGCCTTTGACCTTTCCCTCGTCCCCCTAAACCAATGATTGTCACCCAGTGTGCTGCAGTACACTGCTGTGTCACAAGTGTGCTATGGAAATTAAGTGTGGATCTTAAGTGTGCTATGAAAATTTTAAGGATCATTAATTAAATCATTTTTGAAAGAAGTTCAAGGCACAGTTTAAGTATATTTTTACTTCTTTTTTTTTTTTTTGGATCAACATAAGTTAAGTGTGCCGGGGAGGTTTAACTATAGATTCAAATGTGCAGTGAGATAAAAAGAAGGGTTGAAAAACACTGCCCTAAACCAAGGCTTTTATTATCTGCAAGTAACTTAGACAGAAAGGGCCTGTTGCATTTGTATTCTTCAAATGGGGGAAATTGAGGCTTAGATAGGTAAGAAACTGACCAAAGGCAAGACTGAGACTCAAGTCCAGATCTTATAACTTCCAAGTCCAGGATTCTTTCTAATATTTCATACTTCCTCCATGCCCAAAACAGATTGTCCCGATCAAATTTTATGAAGTTCCTAAATGGTCTTTGCCAATGAAACACCAAGGAAGAACCAACCATATGCAAAAGATGAGGGCTTAAAGTACAACCTCTTTCTGGCAGTATTGATAGTTCCCTCCATTGGAATAGGTGTGTGTTCCCCTACATTGGGACAAGCCACCATCCTTCTTGGTAAAAATGTCAATGCTAAAGTGACAGCACACAACAATTTCGGTCCCAAGACACATGTCTCACCCCACAACCTACTTGCCAGGACACTGAAAGGTCACAGCCTCTTGACCTGGACTCTGAACCTAGGGTGGGCTTCTTCCAGCACGTGCCAAATGTTCCCAGTACCCAAAGGGCTACAAATAGTAATAAGAATGATACCATTAAAATATAATAGCAGATACTGATTGAAAGTTTATTGTGTGCTGGGCACTGAATAGTCTATTACTTAATCCTCCCAACATTCTTATAAGGGGCATGATTATCTCTTATGTTTGTTGGGAGATATTAACACAGAGAGGTTCAGTAACTTGCCTACATTCAGCTAGTAGGAGATGGAGAAGAATTAATGAATAGATTGAACCATTGTGTGTACTTGCTGACTTGTGCCAGGAACCTCTCTCATCCCAAGTTTCTTTTATTGCTTCAGAGATTTTAAAATTAGAGAATCCTCCTAATCGAGATAAATCAATCAAAGATAAAGGCCACTTATCTGATCTAAAAATTCAAAGCATCACAAATGTGTTCAAATTTCTGATATTCTAGAAAATAGGCCTATCACCTTAGTATTTGAATAGTCCTTTAAAATATTTCAACTCTGTTTATCTATATCAGTCTATTATCTATAGACAAGTCCCTCAGTGTATTTACCTTCTGGTTATTGTCCTTACCATTGTAGTGAAATTTTCCTTGACAAGCCAGAAACAACCTTATAATTAGTAAATGGTCAGTTTTCCATCTCTATCTCATTTGGTATACTTGCAGGAGGAAGATAATTCTTTAATTTTTATTTCCTTCCTCATATGTCTTCTTTCTTCCTTATAGTTTTATCTCATAGAAAAAAAGTTGAAACATAATAGTGGTTGGAAAACTTACCATGTTCTTAAAATTTAAGAATTACTATGGTTGTTGAGAGGTTAGATGAAAATGAGATATATATGAAAAGGTGAGAAAAATTTTCATGACTATAAATATTTATGCTGTTTTTCCCTGTGAGATAAAAATATTCCTGTTAATTAAATATTTCTTCTTTTCAAGCCTGATTCTTGACTTAGACATGTGCTGTTCCTTCCAGAAATGAGTGGCTTAGGTTGGCAGCCATGTTTAAGGGGCTAGGAATGGCCAGGCAGCAGGAATGATCTCTGGCTCTCTCCCCTAGGTGTTCACTTTGCTGTGGATTGCTGACTGGATGGTCCATCACTTCTGGAGGAAAGGAAAGGACCCGGATAGTTTCTCCATCCCCTATCTGACGGCACTGGGTGACCTGCTCGGGACAGCTCTATTAGCCTTAAGTTTTCATTTTCTCTGGCTTATTGGAGATCGAGATGGAGATGTTGGAGACTAATCAACCCCGCAGCCCGCTCCCAAGTCACCAAGGACGACCCGAGACAACCACTTACGGCTCTTTTCCAAAACTCTCCAATCAGTAGTTTGACTCTCACCAGGGTGATCAGCAGTTGGCCCTGATTTGATTAAATGGCCTTAACATTTTTTTAAGGAATTTGTGTTAAAACCAGAATGAACCTTATTTGTGCTGCTTTTTGTAGAATAAACGATAATTTGACAAAGACTTAGATATAACCTCAAGCTCTGAAGTTAAATAAATAGGAAAGCATATAGGATGTTTACAGTGAATAATTTTGAAACCACAAACCACAGAAAAGTACTGTATTATTCTGTAACTTGTCACACAAGCTTTGAGGGAGCAGAGCTCTAGTTCAGCCTTTTCTGTCTCACGGATACATCGTACTGCAAGGCACACTGCAGGATGAAGGGTGCCCAGCCACGCCTTTAATGCCCACCTCTGTGTTAGCACCAATTGCTTATTCCTAAACTGACCTAAATATGTCTCATAGAATGATCTTGAGAGAGGTTTAATGAAAGCAGTGAGTCATTTCTTGATCATTGATTTATTGAATTAATTAAGAAAACTTAATAGTGGAAAACAGAATATAACCTGGGCTGCATTTGTACAGAGAGGATGTTATGAGAACTATGTGTGTGTGTGTGAGAGAGAGAGAGAGAGAAAAGAAGAGAGAGGCGATAGGAAAGAGTAAAGAGAGAGACACTTTCGATGGAAAACTAGATCTTGGATTGTTGATAGCAAAGATCATAGTGCTATCATATTGGCACTATAAGGTTGTTCTTAAACACATTGTATTGATACGCATTTGTCATTTGGTCCAAATATTTTGCTACACACCAGAATTTAATATTCGTTGCCTACATTATAGCAGTCTCCTTTTATTAAAAAAGCTATACTATTCAATATAATTAAGGTATAAGATGAAGAATGAGCAAGTGATTCGTTTTCTCTTTTTTAAAAGCTCATTACTTACCCCTTTAAAAGAGAAGTTGGTCGGTTACCACAGTTACTATTCAAACCTATACATATTAATTTGCACAGGCTTATTTCTACATGGGACTCCATCACATACACTGCTATAATTCTCATATTTTTCTAAAACTCTGGACAGTATTCTAAATACTTGACCCACAGTTATTCAACAGGTAGGCATTTTTATATCACATGTAGTTCATTTTGTAAAATAGAGTACAACCTCTCAAGACCGTTAGCTATTTAATAATTTAAGCTGAGAGGGGAATTTAAATGCACATTAACTTTGATCATCATAGTTTAAATTGTGAATTAGTGTTATTATATAAATGGTAGGTTGTTTATAAATATACTGGGGGAAGTATTCTTGTTAAGCGCTCTTAAATAAGGGAGCTGTGGTTTAGAGTTATATATTTTTTATTATTTTTAAACTTTAATTATTCTATTCTTCTGCCTTCTAATGAAGCTTTTAAGGCAGAGAACTGAACTAATTATAGAATGTCTCCTTTGGAGAGTTATAATGTCACATAGTGAACATTCTTGTAAAAGAAAGAATGATTAAGTTGATGAATATTTAACTGCAAAGATTTTTTTCATTTTAGAAAAATCCATGAACAATATCTATGATTTTATTGCAAAGCATTTGTAAATTACTTATTAACATTTGGGCTGTGTGATTCATAAGCATTTACATTTCCTGTGGTTTCTATTTTGATTTTAAAAAATGCACAGCAAGCTACATTTTTAAAGCATTAACCAACAACTTTAGTCTGGTGTATTACATATTCCAAATCACATTCAAATATCATGTCATATTCACCACCGTACCTGTGAAATGAGTCAGATGGATGTTCCTATTTTACAGCAGAGGAAAGTAAAACTCAGAGAAGTTACATTTTTAAGGTTGCACAGCTGCAAAGTGACCAAATCGTGATGTCCCTGACGTCAACGTCTTCCATCTCCTAGAGCCGTATTCATCTTAGGACACATCTATGACCCTCAGATGTACCATGAATACCTACATAATTAACTAAGAGGAAGCCAACTGGAGAAACAGAATTGGCTAAGGTAGAAGAGAGTATTGCTACGTCCTTTAGATTTTGGACAGGGAAGTCTCCACTTAATATATGTTGATGGTGAGTATTTTCAACTGTAAATTATTCATGTTCCTAAGACCAACCAAAATACAAATAAATAAAAGTTTTGAAATAAAGACCAAGGCCTTAGTTCATCGAACATGTAACTGTCATACCCTTCCCAGTCCCAGCCATGTGTCGTAGATGCTAATAAACAACTAGAACGATGGATTGGAGTTCTCTCCCCCTCTTCTTTTGCCACCCAACCTTGGTTAAAGCAACCAAGTGTTGCATGTAATAGTGAGGAAAATGGAAACACCAGTCACCATTAATTATACCAATGAATTCATTATATGAGGAAGGTAGATTCCTGGAAAGAGCTGAAACGAATATTTGAGGAATGAGGGTGGGGAATATAGGTATACCTGGCCCAAATCATTTGGGTCATAAGTACCTTTTCTTCCAGGTTAATCTACAAATCAGTCTATTTCTCCCCATCCATTTATACTCCCTAGCAACCAACCATTTAGGTGCAATATGCCTCAATTTCCTTCCTTCAAAAGGCCTGTATAAAGATAGCGGAACTCCACTGGAAAATTGGGCTGTCACTCTGTGATTTCTCCTTGTGCACAGTAAAATAAACCCTTTCTCTTATTAAAAAAAATGATAAGCTTTCACATAAGTATGCAACTGATCAGATAACTTCTCTTATTTACCCATAAAAATCATTTATCAGTCTTATGTAATACAAACTCCCAGTATTTATTTTTGCACGACATAGAAACTCCTGTGTTCCAAACTTGTTCCTCTCACTGATTCATCTGACACTTTATTTCGACCCAGGTGCCACTTTAAATAACATGTTTTTCCTTCTTGTCCACCCATCTTTTTCATTTCTTTCAAAAAGAAACTTTCTCAGAAAGTGATAAAAATGGGAACTTATGGCCGTGTTTCTTCTGGGAGACATCAAAAGCTCCACACCACGGACTATCAATGATGTAGCCAAACAAAGTACATTTTTAAAAGTCTCCCTTGCCTTAAAATGTACCTGTGGTATCGTGTACCCATTTACAACAGGCTTGTGCCATCCTCAAATTGTAAACTCACACAAGTATAAAATTTAAGTAGTTACCAGCTCTGTTGTGCTTACTTCTCAATGAATTAAAGAACATAAACGCTGTGTGGAAATCTCCCAGAAGAGACTGGGGTAATTTATGTATATATGCTGTATTTATGAAGTATAATAAATTGGGATTTGACCATAACCTAGACCTCCAATCCATTGCTTTACCACTTTTTGACTGTTACATACTCCCATCTCCCCATTGTTCTCATTATCTAGCTCGGATGGCTTGGTTCATCAACCCGCATATCTGCAGCTGCCTCCTCCACACGGGCAGGACGGAACACCAGCTCTGGGTAAATAACAGCTCTCTGTGCTCTGCCTGTATCTGAGCAGCTGAATATGGCTCCAGAGAAACATACCACTGCCCTCACAGATATTTAAAGTTACAGCCTCGGATATCAAGTTAACCCTGCATTGCTCAGCGGCCTACTATATTTCTGTAATGACTTTACTTTTTCTGGGAGGTCAGGCTTTTGTCCCCACCACTTCCCTGAAAGCTTACCTGTTGTCAACCTAAATAACCCATAGGCAGAGGCTCTCTAAAAGAAAGTACTGTTTATTTGGGATGGGGTGTTGCAAGAGAAATGTGCGGGCCATAGTAAATTGTGAGTATCCAGGGAGGTAAAGGAAGACACAGTTTGGGGGGGGAGTTGCAGTTGCTTTTGGCCAGGGCCACATTTGAACCTGCCACCTCTGGTATATGAGGCAGTGCCCTACTCCTTGAGCCACAGGAACCACCCAAGACACAAGTTTTTAAAAGAGAAATGAGGAATATATAATCGTATTGAGATGATTATCTTTCACTACAGAGATCAATAACAAGTGTGCAATGACTGGACAGGCATTTGCTGGCAAATATCCTCAGAGAGTAATTATTTTTTCTGTAAGGTTGCAATGGCCTTTAAGCAAGGGGTGGTTTTTGTAGAGTTTTTTGGCAGTAGTTTTTGTTATTGGGCATTTCTGCATGAGAACGCTTTCTTCACGGCCTCTCTAGATCTCCTTGTTGGGGTTTTGTTAACGCAAATGTCTCCACGTTGATTCCGACAGCTTTCACATTTCCGCCTTTTGATCAAGGTCTTTCTCCAGAAGCATCACTGATCATCCTGCAGTTAGCTTTGGATGTCCCTCAGTGTTGGGATGGACCTGTCCCAAGTGACTGGCCGAGTCCTACACTGGAGAAAGTGAATCCCAGTAAGAGTCAATGTCAAAACCCTTTTAACCACTTTGAGCAACAAGGGAGATTGAAGCAAGTGGTCCTCAGGCTATGTCAACCTGAGACCCGGATTAAGTTCACTTTTGTCTGTTTCATGGTCTTTTGCTATTGCATCAATAGGATTGTGTTTCTGCAAAAAAAAATAAGTCATAGGTAAAAAGTTTAAAAAGGAAAACAAAATACAATTTTAGTAGTATGACAATTTCAGTTTGCACAGTGGTTCTGAGCTATGAACCTAGACTTAAAGGCAACCAATTAAATAGCCACAGGAAATTGGGTGAGACCTATTTTAACTACTCTATTTTTCGATGTATAATGTTTACCTTTCTGCCCAAGTTCTCGAGGGGAAGATAAAGATGCACACTACACATGGGTGGTATGGCTTAGGATTGGGGAGGTGCAGCGGGCCTTGTGGGGCCACCGGGCCCTCCTGCCTGGGCCCATTGAGGGCATGGAGTTCCAGTCCAGGAGTATCCAATCTGGTGGGACTGGGCTGGAGCAGCCTCACTGAGCACTGTCATCAGGAGAGGGGATGATGGTGGGACTGCTGAGGTGGGCTGCAGCTGTGTGGGGTGAAGGCTGAGTATAGTTAAGTGAAGAAAGCTAGGCGTGGAACAGTGTATAAAATATTCTCCCTTTTAAGAATATTTCTTTCATGGGGAAATAAAGTAAGAAACACCAGAATAAATAACAGAAAAATAAGAAATACGGTTACTTATAGGGGACAAAGAGCAATAAGGTACTGGAATGGGACAAGACTTATTAGTGTATACTTTACAGATCATTTTGATTTTTTGAACCATGTACATATATTATTCAAAAAATAATTTCCATTTAAAAAAATTTTTTTTTTTTTTGAGACAGAGTGTCACTTTGTCACCCTTGGTGGAGTGCCATGATGTCATAGCTCACAGTAACCTCAGACTCTTGGGCTCAAGTGATCCTCTTGCCTCAGCCTCCTGAGTAGCTGGGACTACAGGCGCCCTCCACAATGCCCAGCTATTTTTAGAGGCAGGGTCTCACTCTTGCTGAGGCTGATGTAGAACTCATGAGCTCAAGCAATCTACCCGCCTCCTAGCACTCCCAGAGTGCTAGGATTACAGGCATGAGCCACCGCCCTCAGCCCCTAAAATTTATTTTTAAAAGGAAAATATATTCTTTGACCTATTGATCCAACTTCTAGAAATCTGTCCTATGGTAATAATCAGAATATATATTACAGTAATTTTCAACTTGAAATTGTTTATTTGAAAACAGATTTAAAGTTCAAAAAAATTAGTATCTTATATAATATTATATACTCAGTGAATTTATATTTTAAAGATCCTTAAAGTTAGAATAATAATCATAACATCATATATGAAAAGCACTAAAGACAAAACTACATACAGAATGTTATTAAACACCAAAATACTTCAGATGTTTTCTTCTGGGTTATGTGATTAGGGATAATTTTTCTTTCATTTCCCCCACACACACCTTTTTTTTTTGAGACAGAGTCTCACTTTGTCACCTTCAGTAGAGTGCTATGGAGTTCACAGCAACCTCCAACTCTTGGGCTCAACTGATTCTCTTGTCTCAGTCTCCCAAGGAGCTGGGACCTCAGGCACCTGCCACAATGCCCTGCTATGGTTAGACACGGGGTCTCGCTCTTGCTCAAGCTCCTGAACTCAAGTGATCTACCCACCTAGGCCTTCCAGAGTGCTAGGATTGCAGGCTTGAGCCACTGTGCTGGGCCTGCTAGTGTTTCTTTTTAAAACACCTTTTTGTCTACATTTTCAACAATGAACATGTTACGTTCATATTTATTTTTTGAATTACTTAATAATCACTACTCTATCAGACAATAGATCTCCAGCTTAAATTAGTAGTTAATCATTGTTTTAGCTCTTTTTAAAAAGGATTGATTTTTGTTCCATTTAGTAATGAGCACTTAATGTTTAAAAACAATGAACATCCTTTTAATTTTCTTCTTGTAGGCAAGGGGAGATCGTCTGTGGCAATGGAACATGTTAGTACTTAATGACGCTGGGTTATTTACTAGTAAGAAGAAACGGTGAGTAAACGAGGACCTCCAACATTTTTCTCCCTATCGTCTGCTCTTGAGGCAAAGGATGATGTTATATTGGCACAGGCTTCTAACTTCAGGTAATTCCCACAAATTGCCTTTTCTGATCCTCCTCCCAGATCGCACCAAATATCAGGGATTTGGCACAAAACCCTACATGCCTGGCTTATTACAAATCCATGCTGCGCAGCTCCACAAACTTGCCCAGAGGTGGTTTTAGACTCCTCTTTCCCCAGCTTTCTTTCCTCCCCCATCCTCAGCACGTGGTCCTGACTCTCCAAGGAGAAGGGTCAGGCCTCTGGCCCAGCTTTCCTAGTAATTCCTTGTCCCCCCCTTGCCATCCCCATCTTGTTTCAAGCTCACCCTCACCCCTTTCTACCCCATTCCCCCATGTTTCCTCCCTTCCTCACCAAGGGCCTGTTCTCTGCTCCATAACATGCATAAGCCTCCCTCGGAGGGAAACCCCTCCATGTGACTTTGTCAACACCATCTACCCGTCTCCTCTTTAATCACCAGCTCTCATACTGCAGGACACCTCTGCCTCCTCCTTCTGGGCCTCCCCTGTGCCCAAATAGAGGAAAAGGAAACAGAATTTGGTTGAACACAAAGAACTCTCCAAATAAAGACTAAAGACATTTTATTTGGATATTTAAGGAAAACATGACCCAGAAGGCTGAAGGGCTTGAGGTTATTGGAAAGAGAAACCCACACATCTAACAGGCTCAGACCCTGAGTCACCAATTCCAGCTCCTCACTGCAAAAAATCTAATTGACTCATCTTGCCTCTGGCTTCTGACCAGTATGGCCAAGTTAAGGGGCAGGGATCACATGGTAACTGGGTTGCCTCTTCCAGGGCTGTGAGTGCTCTCACGGAGAAGAGTCAGCAGAGAAGGAAGGATTAGCATCCCTGGAGCACACACCAAGCCAAAGGGCAGCTCCTGAGAAGGGTAACCTGAAAGGTTATTTTATCAGCTGCTCAGAATAGACTAGAAACAACTTTGCCACACACTAGGTATATTACTGTATCTAGGCACTTTGGGGAAAGTAAAAGTGGCAAAGTTTCATAACATAAAGAGATAATAAAAACCTAAAGGTAGCCTATAAACCCACATATATGCATGCACAAGGAGGAAGGATAGAACAGAAAATATGTGGAAAGTGTTTCCTCCAATAATGATTTTTAAAATGAGAAATCTCTTCTGGATTGTTTAGGAAACAGGTCACTAGATTGATTCCCTTCTCAGCCTTGGGTGAAAATAACAGTATCGATGAGGCCCAAACCACAGACTGGACCCAACGCCATACCTTTTCGTGGAAATGAGAAGTAATGGACTCAACGTGAATCTTGGTGCAGGGTTAACCTGCATCCCACAGGCCACCCTGGCTCAGGGATTGGGCCAATAGTGAAGTTCCACTTAGGTCCAGTCTGCTTCACAGCTATGGTGAAACTGAAGTCTTTAGAGGCTGATTTCCAGATTTTTCTTTTCCTAAAGGCAGCAGTCAGGTAGTTGGAGAATGTGGGTGTCCCCTGTTTTGGCATTCTCATTCTCTTAGTGAATCAAGTTATCGATGCTTATATTAGTCAGTGGAACATTAGTGTCATGCATGTAAGTGTGTGTCTGTGTGCTCGTGCATGTGTGTGTATGTGTGTTAGATCATCAAATCTCGGCTGGATGCAGTATTTGCACACAATAGTGTATACCATAAGAAGCACCAGGAAGGTAGCTTAAGCTACTACTGCCTGGGCTTGGTTACATTGTTCTTCTTGGTCCCTGGCTATGAAACTCTGCTATTGTATCTTTAAATATATGTGCACAATATATTCATTGTAAAATGTTTTAAAGAAATTATTAC